AACCAACAAACACCACATACACACATATACATACATTGTATACTATATACTATTAGGTTTTAAGCAAACAAGTAGACAGTGGGCGTTCCCTCCCCACGTGCCCACGCCACAAGCCTCCTGCCCAAAAATGAAAAAAAAAACCGAAATGCAAGACATGGCGCGCACCTCATCTCAACCGAGAAACGCTCCTGCCAACGCCAGTTAGCACGCAAGATCCCGCAGTGAAAGATGCCAGTCCTAAAGTCATGCACACGAACATAAATTCATATTTGTCCCTTCACAGACAAATGACACAAAAAGACACGCAGAAGCGAATCAAGAAACAAACACCACCAAAACAAAAAATAATAATAATAACAATAATAATAGTTCGCACTTTCTCCTCACTACCTCGAGCTCGTCTGGTGGTGTGTCACTGCACAAACAAACAAAAAAAGTAAATAGTCATCGGTGCCAAGCCCAAATAACCGCCTCTCCTTCAGAAGACAGGCATCATGGAGTAAGAAAAAAAAATAAATAAATAAATAGAAGAGTAGCGAGAAAACCTCCAAAATAAAAACAAAATAGATATATATATAAAACGGAAGCAAAAAAACATTCACATATTCCCGAAACAATGGGCGAGATGTGCAGTAAGCATCCCAATTCGGATCATATCTTTCCCCAATTCATTCGCACTACTTTATGCGTTCCCTTTGCAGGCATGACTACAAGGCCCCTTGAGTGCTAGTCACTAATACTACTACGGGGGGGCCCGCACGAGAAAATGACGGCAGTGCGCCGACGCCGCTGGCACGCTCAGTCTTGTCGTCCTTCCGAGTGGTCCCCAGCAAAAACATCGCCGTCGGTATAGACAGACATCGGCATCTGACTCATTACAATCACTTCCTCTGGAGGGTTAACGTCAACCATCATAGCCGGATCAGGAGGCATTCCCATAATCTCTTGTCCTGGCCCCGAGTTCCCCAAGTTGCCCCACTTACCACCTGCTTTCATCACGGCATCGCGATGGCTTGCCACGCCGCCGTATCCCGTTGCCCCGCGCTTTGCTTTGCCCCGAGGCATGGCCACATCCTTGCCATCCACTTTCCTGCGCGAGCCCACGGCTTTTGCCCCACGATACTCATACCGATCGTTGCGTCCTGCCATTTCACCGTAAAAATCCTTCATCATGTCACGCTCCTCGCACTCCAAGGCAAATGAATCAAGGATCATATCTCGGGTGCTCGCCGACCGTGACAGGCTATTCTGGCGTGACCCTTTTGAAAACATGCTGCCCTTGCGCGCGAGGCCCTCTCTTGGCGGGGGCTCCGACCCACCTGCGTTCTGCAGCATAGCTCGGTTTTGCAAGTGAATCCCTCGTTCTTCCTCCGTCATCGGACCGCAAAGAGACCTCTTGCGGCACAGCGGTGGCACGGGCGGCTCCCAATCCTCAGCATACATGGGCCCGCTGGGAAAGGGCATGTCCCCGCCATACATGGGGATACCAGGCGGGTACATCGGCATCTCACCGGGGTAGAACTGAAAGTTACTCGGTGGCTCAGGCTGCCCGTACGGGCCAAACCCCTCTGGTTGCATCCCTGGCGGAGGACCTTGGTACATGCGCCGACTGCTTCCTAGGCTTACAGGGATATTATTTCTTTTATTATTTTCTGCCAAGCAACACTTGTCGGGTTATTTTTTTTCCTCACACGTCTCCTACAGGAAGAATAAAAACAAGTAATTGAAAAAAAAAATATAGAAACAGTTGACCTTCGTCTTCTCAGCCTCAGCAATCACACGGTAAGGTGGCACGCCACATCCATTGGCTATCATAGAGATGGCTGTCGAGACAAAAACACCATTGGCTTCGCCGCGGCGCTGGGATTGCCCACAGGAGCCGTGTCGCGTTCATTCTGTTCATCGCCCCGCGGTACGGCGCGGCGCGCTGAAGTACCGGGTGAACCCTCCCCCATTAGTCATCCTGGACCCTAACAGGCGCACGCGCCCGTCCGCAGCTGCAGTTCCGCAATCAGCTCGCCGCCGGGCAAAAGGATACTGCACAGGGCATGCCACGCGCGACTTACCCGGAGCGCAGCACGTCGCTAAAGGCACCGCATATCACCTTTCGTGCTTTTCCCCCACTCCGTGCCGCCGCCGCCTCCGCAGAAGCAAGTGCAGCGTCGTCCCCCTGCCTTCCAGAGTGACGCAGCCAACTCTTGGCCACGTCCTCCGCCGTACAACTCCCGTCTTGCTCCGTTTTAAACACCAAAAGAAAAACAACAACAAAAAAAGACGCAAAATAACATGAAGGGCAGGCGTGCAAGGAGGGAGGGAGAGAGAGAGAGAGAGAGAGTTGGGTCTGCGGTTGTCGGCGGGCAGAGGATTGGCCCCTGCCCAGGCAACAAAAATTCAAAAGAAACATGAGCCCTAAAAATGATACGCGGAGGAAATCGAAAAAGAAAAAGAAAGCCAAAAACGTGGAAGCGAAAAATAGACCAAAACCGCCCAGCCCCCCACACATGCTGGCAAAGATGGGAGGTAATGGGAAGGCACCACCGCCACAGACAGCAGGGCCGCCGCCTGACAAACACACAAAAGTGCAGAGGTACAAACCAAATAAAATTGACACCAAAAACGTGACTATATATATAAATATATATAGATAGATAGAGAGGAAGAGAGGAAGAGAGGAAGAGAGGAAGATGGAAAAACAGAAATAAAAAAACCGCCTCAGAGGAAGAAAGGAACAAATTAAGGAGAAAGGTGGGGAAAGTCTCACAAGTAAGTCACACCCACTGACGCTGTCCGAAGGAAAAAAAAAACCCCGGCACCACCCCCAGCACAGCCTTGGGACAACAACTGCAGTAGCGGGACGCCAGCCTCAAGGTCGTGGGGAAAGTGGGGACGCGGATGGGGCAAAAACGCTGGTGCCACCCACGCGGCACCTGCACGGGCAGAGGTCCCCTCGCATGCGGCAATATGCGTGGGTGAGTCCCTGTTTCCCGTACCCGCAGTTACGAGGAGTGGGCGCTTTGCACAAAAAACTGCACCGGTAAGGTAATGTTCGTTTTCCCACCCCAAACAATAACAATAACAACAAAAACAAAACAAAAAAAATACGGCAAACAAGCGAACAAGAAAAAAAAAACGAAACCCCCCCCCCCTCTCCCCCCTCTCAGCCAATGCTGCGCAGCTGCGTGCGTGGCTACACAGAGACACATATTGCAACCGCCTCTCCTCTTCGCGACCGGCGACTCGCCCCGTCACTAGCGCCCAGTTCCGCAGAAAACACATGCATGCGGCACAGGAAAACAAACACTATAATGAAGTAAAAAAAAGGTAAAACAAAAAAAATCGCTCATGCCCTAAGTAAAACATTCGCTCCCAATGCTTCACTTAGACGCCATGTATGGAGGTTTAAGCAGATGCTTCCCACCACCATATGCTTTGTTGTACGCAGTCATCACAGAAAGAAAGACATTATGCACATTTAGCCCGGGTTACTCTGCAGGCGCCCGGTGTCCAAGAGAGGGGCCGGTGCAAACAATACATATATATACGTAAAGAATAGCCATTGAGCAGAATTGTCCCAACACTGCGGGAAAATAGGACTTTTTGCATTTTGTGCACATCAAAACAACTACATAAAGAACCTTTCTAGGCACGTTTCGCGCCTGCCACTCTCCTCATGGCGTCCGAATTTGATCAGTCGCTTCGCTGTCAGTGTAGTTGCTTGTATACTTTGGGTGGCCGACCCTTTGGGTCACGCAGCATCTCCTCCGCATCCTTGAGCACCAACTCCACGTTCGCGTTAGTGGTGGCGAGCCGCTCCTTCTCAGTCCCCGACGCATTCCTCAGACGCAACTGCATCTGCGCCTGGGCCTTCGTTGAAAACATCACAAAGCGACGCAGTCCGCCGTCACGCACAGTGGAGTTTGAGGTCCCATGCACGCTCTTCGCAAGTTCACCAAAATCCACGGCCGCTTCCGCAGCAGACGCTTCCGCCAACAGGCCAAGAAAGACGACGGTCACGCATGGGCCGCCGAACGCATACTGGAGTATCCCGCGCTCTTTTGGACGCACTTCCAGTGCCTTGCTGTACAGCTTAACGTTGGTCCCAGCGAGGACGGTGAGAAACGACGACAAAACCACGTCCTCCGGCCTTCGTGCCTTGTGGATAAGGAGACTGACGAGCACTGCCTTGTCGGCCTCGCAGACGCTGGCACCATTCTTCAGCTTCGCCAAGAGGTCCTTCGCAGTAGTTACCGGTTCCATCTTTGCGCCCGTGATACAAGGCCCGAAGAGGGGCGAGGATGCATAGGAAACCGGTTCGTATTCGGCCCCATCCTTCTGCAGGTCCTTCGCGGCGCTGCAGTCAGGCTTCATCGCTGAAAGCACGACAAACACCTCCGCATCCTCCTCCAGCTTAGCAAAGAGGCTGCGGGCGCAGTGCATCAGCATGTCTGTCCCGGCTGTGACTCCTTCGTCATCCGCCGTCAAGAGAGCGCTGTTGTGACCGCGGAGAAGTTGCTCAACCATTGAGTCAACCGTCGTGGAGCGGATGCCAGCCACAGGGCTGGCCCGCTGCACAACCTCGTCCACTGGGAACCTTTTCTCCTCACCTTTGGCCTTCACAATGAAACCGTCGCCATCGGCTTTCACATTCCACGGACCGGAACTCTCGCGCTTCTCCGTGACAACAGCCACTACGCGGACTGTAGAATCAACGGCATTGCCTTCCTCTTGCGGTGCCGCGTAGGCGACGGGCTGCGTGGTCTTTGGGTTCTGCAGCAGCTCCTTGGCGTTTTCGAGGCGCGTCTGCAACTGCTTTAAAGACGCCTCGAGGGGCTCCTTTTCCTTCGGAGTGGCGGCCTTCTGGACCTTCGCCTCCGCGGCCGCTACCGCCTCTTCCATATTCGTGACGAAAGTTTTGACACTGCCACCCCGCGACTTGCCGTTTCTTAGCACCATCTTGCCCTGGGCATTAAGGGCCTCCGTAGACTTCTCATCAAGAGCCGCGTAGCTGACGAGCAGCACTGAAGAACAGGACCCAATAAAGGCATGGCCAAACAACTGACGCACGTACTGTGGGTCTTTCTCCATCACTCCGACGTAGGGTCGCATGTCAAGTGCGCTCATCGCAAACAGAGAGGCAACCTTCACATCCCCTTCGAGGATCTGCTTCAAGACTGCTGTGCACACAATGTATTCATCGTCCTTCACCAGTCCCGAGGCCTTCGTGAGAGCGGAGCGGAGAGCGGGCTCCACCTCTGCTGCAGTCTTCACCACCTTTGGCGTCGTCTCGTGCAAAACCACGCCATACAGCGGAGAGATCGCGACAACGAGGGGCTGCGGCCCGGATCCGCTAAACAAGTCACACACGACCTGCTTACCCTTCACAACACTCATGTAAAGTGTAAACTCATTGGTGACACCATCCTTCTTCTCCTTCAAGACGCCCTCGAGGATGCTTTGCACGATATTCCAGGTGACCTGCTTCTCTACCGCCAGCCCAGGGATCACCTCCGCAGCCAGAAGCGCCGTGTTATGGCCATTCCCCAGAGCAATTTGCATTCTTTTGGCCAACTTAGATTCAAGTGGTTTCCCCTCAGTATACTGAAGGTGCTCATCAACACCGTACCTCCTCGCCTTCCCCTTCACTGAGAGCTCGATGGTGTTGCTTGTGGGCTTCTTTTCAACGGTTACGGCAATCCTCGCGGAGGTCTGCCATGTCTCGGAGTCACTCCCAGCAGAATCGCCCCCCTCCAACGCCTTCGGTTGAGATGGTGTGGCCGTGTCCGTAGCCTTGGCTGTGGCCGCATCTTCAGCCTTCTTTTTTGCTGGAGCAGTGCCCTTCTCACACACGACCCGCGACAATGGAACAACTTTGGCCGTTAAATCGTCCGTCTTATCCTTGGTTTCATCCTCCTTCTTCTTCTCTGAATCCCGCAGCACAGAGCCACCATTTGGCTTAGTATCCTCCAGCTTCTCCTTTACTCCATTAGTGACCTTATCCTGTGAAGTTCGAGACGAAGTGTAAACCTTGGGCTTTGTCCCCTCCGGCTTGGCCATCAATTCCTGTGCGTCAGCCAGCACCACCTTAAGCTTATGTAGAATTCGTGTATTACGTGCCTTTTCCGCGGCGTCCTTTGTCGACTCCAACGTGGCCGCACACTTCCTCTCCTGCTCCTTTGTGAACTCCACGAAGCGGGTGAGATTGCCACTGCGCGAGGGGGAATTCTTCACCTTCCGCAGCCTCAACACATTCTTGAGGATGTTCGTCTCCCCAACAGCATCACCCCCCGACACGGCGGCGACGACCAGCGTGCAGCTGTTTCCCCCCACGGCGTCCTTGAAGAGTGGGACGGGCAGCAACTTCGCGTCCTTATCGTGGAGGGCCGCCAGGTAGTCACCCCGCTCCTTTACGAACAGCAACTGCATCGCCGAGAGCGACACATCGGTGGTCGTGCTGCTCGGACGCTTGATCTGCTTCACCACCAACTGCAGGAGAACAGCCTCCTCCGCATTGGGCGAGGCTTTCAACGCGTCCTGCAGAAGGCTCTCCGCATCACCTCCACTCTTCACCGGCTTTTCCTCGAGGTCCACGATGCATGTACCGAAGATGGGGTTGGAGCCGAGTTGCAGC